GGCAGGGATGGGGGGCAGGGGTAGGGTGGGGAGTGCCTCCCAAGACCTCCACTGCCCGGGGTTCCTGATGGCAAGTGTATTGGGCCTATAAAATGAAGAACGTGGGTACCACCGCCCCCTTGCCTGCGAGTGGGTCTCCCGTTCAGGCACTTGCATTTTCAATGTAAGGAACAGTGGGGACGGGGGAGGAAGAGGGGCCGCGGGGGCTGGGTCCCACTCCAGCCTCCTGCCTTTGTCCTTGGCCCTGGATTGTCCCTGGACAAAAGACTAGGGGCCCACGGTGGGGCCTAGTGGATGCTTGGCCCGGTTGCTGGGCAACACCCACCAGGGGGCCTTTGGAGGGGTGTCCCCTTGCAGAGCCCAGTGCCCAGAGACCCCAGGCCTGAGTGTGGGAAACCTTTGTTGAGCCGACACCCATCAGAATCTGAATTCTCCAAAGGGCAGCCGCAGCCCCCACTGCCCTCCCCAAGCCCAGTGGGCTCCTGAAAACCCTTTCTTTTGGCCAATAGGGGGTTAACATGTTTGGAAGGAGAGATGCTCGCTCTCTCCTCGGCCCCCCTAACTCCCCCCCCCCCCAAGAAAGGCAGGGCCTGGAAGATGCATTTCCCAGGGCCCTTCCTCAGCCCTCTGAGTGGCACCGAGTGAGGTGACAGCCAGGAGGAGGCCCCTCGGAGACGGACAGCCCAGGGACAGCCTGCCGGCAAGCTTGGGCCACGGCCCCTGGAAAGCACTGAGCCATGGGGTCCAGTGCAAACAACCCTCTCCCAGCTCCAGGCTCCAGCCTCCATCTCTCTAGCTGTTCCTCTAAGACAGCGGTTCTCTACCTTCCTCATGCCGAGACCCTTTAATACAGTTCCTCATGTTGTGGTGACCCCCAACCATAAAATTATTTTTGTTGCTACTTCATAACTGTAATGTTGCTACTGTTATGAATCATCATGTAAATATCTGATAGGCAGGATGTATTTAGGCAACCCCTGTGAAAGGGTCGTTCGACCGCCAAAGGGGCCGCGACCCACAGGTTGAGAACCGCTGCTCTAAGACTTGTAAATTGTAAAACAAGGGCCACATGGCGGAGACCAGGAGGGCAGCCTGGCCCCGGGTAGGTTCATGGCTAGGGCCACGGCTCCCAGCGGATCAAGGCCGGAGGGAGCGTGGAGTGTGCCTGGTCCAACCCCGTCACTTTACAGGTGGGGAAACTGAGGTTGACTATTCTGCTCAGCCCTGGGGAGGGGAATGCTGGACCCAGCAGGCCTCCCAGAGGGCCGTACGCTTGAACTTGGTCAGTTGGAGGAAGACAGGGGAGAAAGGCATTCCAGGCTGAGGAAGAGGAGTGTGCGGTGAGCCCCCAGGCCCTTCAGGGGGCTGGAGTGTAGATGGGAGGGCCACACAGCCAGGAGGGAGACAGTGGCTTCCAGGGCCCCTCTCCGGAAGAGGCCCAGAGAGGAAGTGTGCCTGTGTCTTGGCCTCATGGCCACCATGTGTCCTACATCCGTGTGAGCTTGGGGGCAGAGACGGTTCTGAGATAGGTGCCTCGCTTGCACTACCCAGCTGTGTGACGCTGGACAGGTCACTTGGCCTCTCTGAGCTGTTTTCTCACCTGTAAGATGGGAATGATGAAGCCTGTTTCCTGGACATAGGTGCCTCTGGTAGCAAGGGCCGGGGGCAGAGAGCGAGGACTCACATTCCCTGAGCGCCCATGGCGCCAGGTGCCTGTGACCCCACTCACTGCATTTCCACTCCCGACCCGAGAGGTGGGGAAACTGAGGCTCGGAGTGGGGGGTCCCGGAGCTGCTGGTGCTCACACGGGGCTGAGTGCAGGGACTGGCATTCACACGAGAAACTCCCTGAGCTAGTGTTCTGCCTGCTAGTCGGTGAGTGGAGACAGACTCTAGCCTCCAGGACTTGGCCGGACCCAGACCCCGGTGACTGACATCAGCAGTAAAAGCTGGTGCTGACTGAGCACTGACCGTGTGCTCTTTTAATCTAAATGACAGTCCTGCCCGGCCGGTGTGGCTCAGTGGTTGAGCATCGGCCTATGAACCAGGGGGTCACCCTGGTCACGGTTCAATTCCGTCAGGGCACATGCCTGGGTTGTGGGCTCAAGCTCCAGTAGAGGGAGTGCAGGAGGCAGCCAATCAATGATTCTCTCTCATCATTGATGTCTCTCTCTCTTTCTTTCTCTTTCCCTTTCTCTCTGAAGTCAATAAAAATAGATCCAAATGATAGCCCTGTGAGGCATTTCATTTTGGGATGAGGAAGCTGAGGCTCGAAGAGCCAGGCGTGCCCGCATTACCCAGCAGGCAGTTAGTAAGGAGCTGGGACATGGACCCTCATTGTGCCCAGAGGTGTGTGGTGCTGGGCGTGAAACCCAGGCAGGTGACCAGGGGCTTCAGAGGGTCGAGCCTGGGTGGTCCGGCAGAGTAGCCACCGCCCTGGAGAGCTACAGAGGCCCTGGGGCACGTCAGCGGCCGTTCTGGGGCTGTCTCAGTTCTGGGTGCTGGTGAGCTGCGTGGGCCTGGACCCCTCAGGGCTCGCCTCCTGAGGTCGGGGTTGGTCTCAGAGCCTGAGGTGGGGGTGTGGGGCCGCTGGGACAGCCTCCAGGCAGCAGGCTCACTCCCTGCCTTGTTTCTTGTCCAAGGGGAGCTGTACTTCATGTCCACGGGCGTGCCGAGTGCCACATCAGCTCGTGGGGTCATCTACAAGATCATCGACCCCTCCAGGTGAGCCACACCCCCGGCGCTGCCCGAACCTCCGTTACCTCAGTTTCCCTCTCTGGCACTCCCTCAGGTGGAGATTATTCATGTCCCCATTTCCCAGATGAGAAAACTGAGGCCCAAAGAGGGAAGTGACTAGACAAGCTCATCCTGCTGGTGAGAGGCAGATCCAGGATTCAAACCCGGACTTCAAAGTCCACCTCTGTCCGTGACAGGAGGGAGTCAAACACACTGATGGGGGCCGATAAGCGCAAGCCCCATCATCACATTTTTAAAAAACTGAAAGCCCTTAGAATTTAGAATAGTTTTAGGTTTACAAATAAGTTGCAAAGATAATACAGAGTTTTTCCCATATGCCCCTCACCCTTCTTATTTATTTACCTCTATTATTTAAATGTCTTACATTATTACAGCACCTTTGTCACAATTAACGAGCAATATTGGCACATTACTATTCATTAAACTCCATACTTCTTTTTAAAATTGAGGTGACTGCACTTTTTAAAAAGAATTTCTCTAGTTTTTCTCTCAGATTCTTTTTGCTGTTCCAGAATTACACCAGTCATCACGTCTCCTTAGCTTCCTCTGGTCTGTGACAGCTCTGCAGACATCCCCGCCTACCGCATTTTTTCCTTAAATCACAGTCTGTTCATTATTACTATTATTTTTTGTTGTTAATCCTCGCCTGAGGATATTTTTCCCATTGATTTTTAGAGAGAGTGGAAGGGAGGGGGAGAGACAGAAAGACATCGAGGAGAGAGAGGCACCATTGGTTGCCTCCCGCACACAGCCAGGGCCAGGGATCGAGCCTACAACCGAGGTCTGTGCCCTAGACTGGAATCGAACCTGGGACCTGTGGGTCTGCAGGCCGATGCTCTATCCACTGAGCCACATCAGCTAGGGCCTGTTCATTATTTACATATTTCTCAAGAAAAACAAAAGCACTCCTCTTGCCACACCCCCTTCTGTTTCCCGTGGCCTCCCCCTCTTTACGTGGGCAGCGCCAGGATTACCTCAGTGTGGAAGGGCACCTGCCAACTTTGCATTTCCCCTCGTTCCTTTCTCCCGTTCTGCATAAACATTTCCACGTTGCATCCCCCTCAAAAGGACCGGTTTTAATGGCCGCGTAATTTTCTGTTGAGTCATCGTGCCCTAGCTATCTTCCGAGTTCCTGGCCGTTTCCAGCGTTTAGAGCAGATGCTTCTCTAAGGAAATGTCACATGCACGGAGCACCTAATTCTCGCCAGATGCACCTCGGACCGTCACTGCCTTAGTTGGTGCCGCACGATCTTGGCTTATCCGGCGGCAGGGCAGAGGTTGCTTCTGCTCAAGGTCTCGTGTGTGGGAGGAGGCAGAAACCGGCCAGACTCCCTCCCTCCCTGACCCTCCTCATCCCTCTCATTTCTCTCTTTTGGAACAAATGTGTTCCTTTGCCCGGCAGCATGTTGCACGAGGCCCCATTACAGAACCTTTGGAAAACGAAGGCATGAGGAGTGGCGGGGGTGGGGTGGGGCTATTCATTACCGCCCAAACATAACCGCATTCATGTGGCAGTTTGGGGTGTATCGCCTACCTTTTGCACAACAAAAATGTTTTTCATAATTTCCTTAAGGAACAAACGCCTGCTGGGTCTGTGTGGGGCATGTGGATAGTATTTGGGTTCGGGGCCACCAGAAAACCCACCGTCTCCAGCTCTGACAAGTGCTGCCTGCTTCTTCATTCTG